ATTTGCAATATCTTTTTGGGCCGTAAATCAATATACTTATGTTATTATAATGTCATTTTAAGTTTGCACATCTTTATTTATAATTTTTTCCAAATGTACACGTCTTCAGTTCAAACTTTAACGCATACGTTTCACCTGAGTACATTTTAAAAAACTAGATTAAAAGAAACTAAAGTTAAAATCTTGTTTTTCATGCCCCATGGGCAATAAAAACACTTGGTAAAAAAATCCTGACTGAGGCTTTCATATTTCATGCATGAAAGGGTTCGGGCTACACCTAGGAAATTTACTTAATTACATAGTAGGCTACATTATTTTAGTTACAGATGTTTTATTTGTATACGTGTTGTGCTTGAGTGTTGATTGTTGGCAGCATGTGTTACGTGTGTTAAAAGACATTTTCCAGTGTGAATGGACAAAAGATGTTATCCTATTTTAATGGTTTAGTTGTTAAAATAGCGAGAAAATGCTAATTAGATATATATATATTGAGAGCGCTAATGTGGGTTCTTTAAAAGTCTTCTTTTTGTTGGACCAATCATTTGAAATCATAGAAATAGAGGTCAGCAGAAAAATGTCACGTTTTGGAGGTTGGAACCAGACTGATACTACATGCTACATATTGAATACTGTACAATAAAGTTTTGCTTATAAACTTTGGGATTATAGCCTTTGCAGTCCATTTACATGCACACAAGCTAACACACTACAGGAAAGGGGAAACTCCAAAGAGCATAATAGGGCCTCTTTAATACTTCACTCATTTTTGGGTCAACACATTAAATAAACACATGGAAGATGACATGGTGGGATACAAACTTTGGAAACCTTTGCTCCATGGCAGAAAGTCAAATAATAAATAATCTCATGATATCATAAAAGATAAGGAAAGACAAATAGAGACACTTTGCACTGAGGACTCTTATTTTGAAAAGTCTTTGTAATAAGGCTAGTATATAACAGCTTAATTTAGGTGAAGCCTGTATCCTTTAACTGAGCTACTTTTTAGACCATTACCCTGCCAGGCTCCCCTGCTCGGAAACATGGAACAACTGTTACAACATCATGGCATTAAAATATACTTAAAGTATCAAAAGTAAAAGTACTAATTATGCAGGTTGGCTGACTTCGGAATGATATATATTGTATGTTTTGATTATAAGCATTGATGCATTCATATGTTTATCAAAATGGTACAGGTGTAACTAATTTCCACTAATTGGGGCTTAATCCAGGTGTATCTAAAGTATTTGTTAAGTGTTGATCATATATTGTTTATCAGTAATCTTTATATGCAAAGAAATTAAAGGTATTAAATAAATGTATTGGAGTACACTATTTACCTCTGAATTGCAGTGGGGTAGAATTACAAAGTAGCAGAAAATGTAGATTTGAATTACAAGAACCTCAAAATTGTACTTAAGTACAGTAGCCTACTTGAGTAAATGTACTTAGTTACTTTACACCACTGTATGTGGATTCTGGAAAGACTGTATCCTATTACTGAGCTACTTTTAGACCATTACCCTGCCAGGCTCCCCTGCTGGGACACATAGGAGAAACTCTCCTGAATTGAACGATTAATACCAATAGACACCAAGGTAAACACACGTAGGATTCATAACCGTGGATGAAACGTTAACTTTGTAACAGAAGAAGGTCATGGAACAGTCTCGCGCTACATTCGCTCTGCAGGCCTGCGGAAAGCTGTGGCCTTGACTCTTGTTTTTCCTCCATCATTGCTGCTCTTCCCCGGGTTACAAACTCACATGCAACACGGAAGAGTGGAGGTATATTACCTGTCCAGCCAAAATGTCCAAGGTGAGTGCAGAGGCAGCGTCGTCGCGTCGTCTTCTAGGTGTTTCTTTGTGATGTTTTCCAACTCTTTCTCGTCGATGTCAATGTTGTTTTCAGGGGAAACTGTCTGAGGGTCGCTCAGTGCGCCTCTGCCACTCTGTAAGTCTGTCTGACCCGCTGGAACCGCCATTACAGCCGGTTAAAGAATATAACACTTTATTTAAAAGCTCCTGTGTGAATGTGTTTACTAAAATCACCCGGTTTGGCTTTAGCTGTAGATACCGAGCAGACACACCACCGCTTTTCCGCCTACCGACTGGTGACGTCTGTGCGTCACTGGGCAGAAACCACGCAGTTGGTCCAATCCAGAGAGCAGGAACAAATAAAGAGATGTCTCACTCTGTGTGTGTTTCTGGATTCTGACATGAAGCACAACATCTACAAGAGAAGAGGTGGTAAATA